TCTCGAGGGGGGGGGGGGGGGTGGGGGAAAAGAGGGGGGAAGAGAACCACAGGTGCATGTGGTATGTGAGTAAATATGTAAGTAATTACAACAGAAATACGAGGTTATATTCTTTACGTGCAAGTCATAAAGAGATATATATCAAGTATTTACTAAGAAAAACTTGCGCAGCATGAACACACACAAGAAAATCACATTTTGTAAACCAGTGTTAATCTCCCTCTTTCTGGTTCACTGACTTATCCCTGCTGTACTTACAGATCTCGGCTGCCCTGAGAATCTCCGGTTGTAATCACTAACATCTTGAAGCACCTGGGCTGCATCTGGTTGATCCTCACCAAAGAGTGGCAAAAATAATGTCACCTGTACATATTACATTATTACATTGGTTAATAAATGAAATGCAATAGTGAGGAAATGCAAAATCTCACAATGTAAGTATAATTATAGTATAACAAACTTGTTTCAATTTTAGAGCTGTTGTCTTATTTCTACACATTATCCTAAAAACAATTAGTTTCCAATACCCAGAATTTACTTACTTAGGCTGAGTATACAAGTTTGAATGATCTGGGAGACTTCTCCATGTGTGTGTTTTCCTGGTAGAAAAACATACCTGGAACCCCCTGAACAGACAGACATTCAAATGCTAAGCCTCTGAAGAGCAAGGTGCTTACAGTGCTGATGCTGCGCAGCCAGGGGCTCCCTGTAGACACAGCTCAGCATGCTCTGTAGGCACTCAGTTTGCTCAGAGACAGATGGCAGCAGTGCATAGGGCAGCCCTGATTGGATGACACAGACTGCTCAGCTTCTGTCTCCCTGCAGCACAGTATGGGGATTTGGAAGGGGCCTGTTCCACATCTTGCTCAGCTGGAGCAGTAGAGTCCAACCTAAGTGCACACAGTCTCCCAGGACAGGGGGGCAGAAGCAAACTCCCTTAGGATGCTGGAGGACAATGCTGTGGCTTCTCTCAGAAGGGAATGTGTACAGATATTCACTCTCTCAGGAGAAACTCTCCTTGGAGTAATTTAAACCAGGCTGTTCCTAGGTTATTTTTCTCCTGAAGCAGCCATTTTTGCTCTGGGAGAAAAATCCTGTGTCTGTACACTTGAGGTTTCTCCTGAGGAGAGCAGTGACTCTCCCAGGCGAAACTGGATGTCTGTACATGGCCTTAGTCAAGTACAGCTGTTAAGTCTTAAAGAATTAGCAGTTTAAGATATTTCTAAAAGGATATAATAAGCTATTTTAAAGAATATTTGCTAAGGATAAACAATGTACAAGCACAGCAGCTTTGCAACAGGATCAAGGGGGAAATTTTCAAAAAAGCCCGTGACTTAGGAATTGAAGTTCCATTTTCAAAAGCAACTTCAGTACCTAGAACCAGTCATTTTCCTCTTATGAAAATGTTATGCCAAATTAAACAAATACTTCCACTCTCTTAATGATGACTCTGCTTTGCAGCCTAAGGCAACAAAATCTGAACACAACCTATGTGGATTTATAACACCATGGTTAACTCCAGGAACTGTGTTCCTCCTAAGTGTGCCAGCCTAAAGATAGTCAGCCAAAACATCTTCAGAGATCATGGCTGTTGTGATAGTGTAGATTAGTGCATCTCCCTGACAGCTAAGTCCTGGAGTCCATTAAGAGTCTCCTTAACTGGAAAGCTGGTAGCTGTAATGGGAAGTCTGAAGGTAGAGGGATTAATCTGGAGAAAAATGGGAGAGGAGTCAAGAAAAAAAAAGATTTTTTCAATGTTCTTGCCAAAGTAAAGAATGGAGCATATTCTTAAATATATATATATTTGGAGGTTAATTCTGATGTAAATATTTAATATTGCAGAACACAGAGTGTGTCATGTACACATATTCCTGAATACTTTATGTATTTATATAGAAACAATTGTAATATATATACTTGTATGTCATGGAATTATTTATGTAAAAAATTGAAGACCTTTATGATAAATATTGTGCAGTATGTTACTCTGCAATTTATTATACATCTTTGGAAATCTCACTTGTATTCTGCCACTAATAATCCATTACAGTCACTTACCTCTATGTCTGAGCCCCCAACCTGTATAAGGGGGATATAACAACTTCCCTGTCTAACACGTGAGGGGGATAAATGAATTAATATTTGAGACACACTCCAACGATAACATGATTTAAATGCCATAAGGAAAAATAATAAACTGGCTACTAATGCACCTTGGTTTTACAAGCAAAGAAATACAATAAATATTCCAAATAGTACTTTTAAATATCTCTACAATATTTCCAATTATTTTTGTAAATCATATGACCAAAGCCAATATATGAAGGGTTGCATGGTAAAGATTTTACTGTCACTGTTTAGGATGAATGGCATAAGTTGCTTGTCTCTTGCATATAAATGTTAAGATAAACAAAAATAGTTACCAAGCTACCATGCTGTTCTTATGAACATAAAGCAACATAAAGCCCTCAAGACTGAAACCAGTATACATACTTACTAGCTTTAATTGCACAGTATGCGCAACTTTGTTTAACAATGAAAAAGATTAGCTTAAAAAACAGGAGAATTAAAAGAAAAAAATCTTAGATTTTTGTGTGTTTTGTTTTAAATTTTCTTTTATTTTTAAGTCTTCAGTGCAGGCTTTTCCCTTCAAAAGCATGTAAGATTATTTGGGGTTCAAAATTCAATACGAAATGCACATGCAAACATAAAGATCTCCCTACTTATTGATCAGAGAGGCACTCTGCTATCCCTGTCCCACCTCTTGGCACATGAGGAACACTGATATTCTGCTTTTTCTCATTATGCCCCCACCATCATTATGTTGTCTTTTCCCCTTTATTCCTCAATATCCCACTCAGACTCTTGCCCACTCCATACACTCTACCTGTAGTCTGTCCCTCACTTGCCTACCTTCAACTCAGCTCCATATGTCCTTTCTTCCTCCCATTCAATATCCTGCCTCTGTCCCTTTGCATATGAATGTATGTTTGCAGGATCAGGGCCTATCACTGGAGTTAGAATTATTGGATTTTTTATTACAGAAAGCATTACCGTTTGTCTGCAGATTGGGCAGCGAATAGCACCCAGCCATGAGCCATACCTCCAGTAAGCAATAATGCAGGCACCTAATGGAGGTAAATATCAAATGACACAGTAGTAGACACTTCTGATTTAAAATAATTATTTTCATAAATAAATAAGGAATCAGGTTTTAAGAAAGAGAGCAACATTATAACCTCTACATATTAGTTTCAGGTATCACATGTTTTTATAATTGGTGGCTTTTATACAATATTCACTGCAGATACTTAAACCAAATTCATTCAAATTCTGGAAGCAATTAATTGTGTAAATCCTGGTGGATTATCTACATTAATTCTTTCATATCTTTATTAACTATTTAAGAAAAGAAATAAGCTTCTGCATCATTAATTGGAAAATAAATAATTGAAAAGCTTTCATCACAGTGAAATTTAGCAGGAGTATCTTACGAGTCTTCTTTAGGTTGAGAGAGAATTCAGCTTGTAAAAAAACTATGGTCTTGTTCTTTAAACTTGTGCAGTTTGTGACATATGGAAATAAAAAAACCCATGAAAACGTGTGACATGGAAAACAGCTAATTCAGTTTTTGACTAGGTTAAAAAACTTCAAGAATAGTGTCTAATTTATTTCCAACTGAATTAAATTGTGCATTCAAATCTGGTAGCACACATAAACAATATTCCAACCAATTGTAGGAATTGCTGGCCTATTACCTCATTCTTCTTGGTGCTATTTAGGAACTTATTTCTTTTAACAGTGAAGAAAATGTTTTCAGTGGATTTTCTTTTGGTTAACGCAGTGGCTCTCAACCTTGTTAGACTCAACACACCCCTCACCAAGTCTTAGTTTTTATTCATTTTTTGACTATGGAAAAAATTCTAGAGCAATTTTTCTGTTGCAGAGAACTCAGAAAGAACAGAACAAGTCAGAACTTTTTTAATACTATGGATTCCTATATGAAATTTCTGGATTTATCTTGTGAATCATGTTTGCATGCCTAAATGCTAACTTTGCGTGACAGCCTTGAGAGGATCTCAAGCCACCCTATGTTGATGTGGTATCCTGCTTGAGAACCACTGGATTAAGGTGGGAAAATCGGGATACATAATTCTTGATCTCCATAACATAACACTACCATTAAGCCTTTCACTTTTAGAACTCACCATAATCCCTTTCTAGAGGGATTCCAGTAAATTAAGGTAAACAAAAAGCATTTATACCTGGCTCTACTTTCCAAGATTCTCAATTTTCAAATATTTTCTAAAAATGGATCATCTGAATTAACTTTGGGAGATATATATAAGAAGCAAGTCAGGATACTACTATATATATATATATATATATACACACACACACACACACACACACACACACATATATATATATATATATATATAGTGGTATAATGGTAGAATGTTCCTCTCATATATATACATAGTGGTAGTATCCTGACTCACTTTTTTTCTCCTGTTGCTCTCTCCATTCTACCTGTACAAATAAACAAGATCCCTTACACATAAGAAGTAAATCAAAGTGCAAATGTAAATGAAGGTCTAAAGCTATACAGCAGACTGGTAGCTGTTTCTCTTTTCTCTGGGTAGTTCTGATAAAACAGTACCTGGAATAACACCTTTTCTCTTTTGCTGCAGAAAGTAAGTGGCAGACAATGGCTTGAAGTTGCACCCAAAGCAGGTTTAAATTGGATAGCAGGAAAACTTCTTCACTCTTAGAACAGTAAGGCAAATGGGGAGGTTGTGGAATTTTCATCATTGGAGATACTCAAGAAAAAGCTGGATAAACATTGGTCAGGGATGATCTTGGCATAGCTATGCCTATGTTCTAGTCTGGGTCTTTTTCCATGCTTCTGGGCTTTGCTGTTTGCCACATGGGGCCAGGAAATTTGTTTCCCCGCTCCTGCTCCTAGATGTCTCAAGGGTTTTTTTCCCCCCCACCTTCTTCAGAAGCACTAGGTGTTGGCTGCATTCAAGGCTGGGATTTTGAATATGGTGTGCCAATGCTCCCGCTGAGACTTAAATGTGGAGACTCTTAACTACAGGGTCTTGCCCCTCTGCTCAGGGTCAGACTGATCACTAGATTTGGGATAAGGAAGGAATTTTACCCCATGGTCAGATTTGTATGGACTGTGGGGGTTTCTGCCTTCCTCTGTAGCAAGGGGCATGGTTCACTTCCTTGGATCTTTCAAATGTATTCTAACAACCTTTGCCACAGCAGAACATTGGCTGCCGTGGTCCCCCTGCTTTACCTGCAACAGGTTAGGGAGTTAACCCTGACACAACAAGGACTGTGTAAGTTTTGCTAATAAGTTAGACAGTAGATCTGTATAGGATAGTTTGGATAGATGATCCTGCCTTATCCAGGGGGCTGGACTAATGACCTCTGGAGGTTCCTTCCAGCCCTACTTTTTTATGATTCTGTATCTGAAATATAGGCGAGTAATTGCACATCATAAGACAGACTTTTGAGAAAAGCAATAAAAATGACTAAATGGTCCTGGAGAAGCAGAATGGAGCTGTCTAAAATTAAATTACATGTTGCATCTACACCAAGAAAGGAACTGATTTTAGCTTGGCCTCTGCTAGCAGGGGTTAGCTAAGCCCAGCCTGAACTATACTACTTCTCCTAGTTAAACAAAGCCTTAGATTCATGGAATACAGTATTTACTTAAGGATTTCTCAGTTGAGAGGAACAGAAAGACTCCTCCCAGAGTCATGAATTACTCCAAAATCATTGGGGCCACTGGAATGTAAATACTATATCCTCAGGAGGAGGAGGAGGGGAACAGTTTAAATGTTAACTAACTTCTCTGGTGATGATTTTTACTTACCACAGAAAAGATGCCCACAGTTTGTTTCAATGGGAAAAGTAGCTTGCTGTAAACAGACTGGACAGGACATGTCAGTGTAGAAATGATGTCTATCACCAGCAGATTCATCCTGTTGAGATAAAAATAAAAAACAATTTGTTTCAAGGGATTAAACTTCAATTTAGAATAGTACTTGAGTTAAAAAATAGAATACTTTCTTCACTTGCTCTAAGCCAAACAAAATGCCTCCAACACTAAACATAAGAGCAAGAATAGAAAAAATAGTCGAATAGGACAGTTCCTATGACATGCAAATCCTCCACCCCTTTTATACAGGATATACTTCAGGCTCCCTGAGGATAATGAAAGTAGAACTTTCTACTCCTACATTTAAGAAACAGTCCTATTTGTTTAAATAAACTAAACCCTAAGTGACAAACTCAGTATCTGACTATAGCTTTGCATATGCTAAAAGTAGTGGAGCTGCACTGCCATAAGTTATAATTATCAATTTTTGCTCCAAGGCTTAATATGCACATAAGCTCATGTGTGTCCTGGTAAGAAGCCCAGATGTCAGATAATTTCCTATGAACTTTAACAGTTCCATCATGTTGACGGTGTCATGGCTGATCTTCATATTTCTTCTACAGGGTTGCCAATAAAGAGCGCCTATAGATCTAGATACATGGTTATGACTGCCAAACACTTCATGGTTACTCAGAGCTCATGCTCTAGTCCAAAAGACAAGGGAAAGTGCTAATTTCTTATTACCAAGGTCCTGCATTCTTTCTGTAACACCACCATAATTCTGCAGCAACATTCATTTACATTACTGCCACTCTTAAAATCATAAAAAAAAATAAGGTTGGAAGGGAACTAAGGAGGTCATCTAGTCCAACCCTGTGCTCAAAGGAGGACTACCACCAAGTATATAATCTTAGCCAAGGATTTGTCTAGCTGAGACTTAAAAACTGCCACGGATGGAGATTCCACAGCCTCTCTGGGTAACCTGTTCCAATGCTTTACTAGAATCTCCCCTCTCTCTCTCCTTCTCCTGCTTCTATCCATACAGGCCAGGGAAGGATACAATGTGTACAGCTGCCCTGAGTGGCTCCCCCTAAGCACTCTATGACTTGGCTGCTGTGTTGTTTTCCAAGAAGTTCAGCTAGACAGTCAAAACATCTGCCCTCTTTCCTATGGCTGCAAACTGAACTCCAGATTTGACTCTCCTTCCCGTGTACTACCAGACGCACAGAATACAGCAAAGTGTGCGCATTACCATCTAATTAACACCCTCTTGTGGAGAAAACTGGAACTTCCCCTGTACTGCTTTAAGAAATTCTGAAAAACTGTTAGAGCATCCCAAAAATTATGGGTTAATTTGAAAAGGATCTGCCTAATTTTCTAGGAGCTAAAACTGAAAAGAATAATCATCATATCAATGGAAGAGATTTTAATCACACTGCAAGCTTGATGAAGTAAATGATAAGGTTCTAGCACAGTTTATGTACAAAAAAAAGTGTGCACGTCACTCAAAAATGACTCGTTTCAGAAATATTTCAAGCCTCAGCAGTAAAGGAGAAACTTTATACAAGACATTATTAGGAGGATGAACGTTTTCAGCATTTAGCATGGCACCTGTTCTGTTTGAAGCTGTTGCCGGAGTGCTCGCACTAGTTCCTGGTTTTCCGGGTGAATGTTCTGATGTTCATTTCTATGAAAGGAAATGCAAAAAGCAAAAGAACAATGACTGGCAGCACACGCTGAAAACTATGCAATTGATTAAACAAAACCAAACCTGAAGCTAGTGGGGAGGGGAGGGAAGAGGCGAAAGGGGGAGGGAATCATTCACTCTTAACATGAAGGATTTTAAGGAAGTTTGTATATAATTAAGAAAACTGCATAATCAAGGTGTTTCGTAATATTTCAAATTGTGACCTTTCATCAAACAAGACAACTCTGCTATGACTAATCATCACAACTGTTTCACCAGAAAATTCAAGTTTTAGTAAATCAAAATAAAATTGTTATCCTGGAAAAACCAAACCAAACCATGTTGATTGTAAGTTTCTATATCCATCATTAGCCGTAAGAGTCTTCCATTTCCAAAGTAAATTTTTCCTCTACTATTAATTCCTTTGTTACTGGAAGCAATCCTGTTCCTTACTTATGTTTTTCCTTTGCTGTACATACATGTCCTATTATTACAAAGCAAAATTATCTTTTAAGGTCCATCCCTACTGAATCTGCTGTTTGAAAGATTAGGCATACTCAAAAGAAGAAAGGATAGATGTACCTCTTGTTTCTGAATATGGAGCAACTAACTGAATAGTGAAGATAGGAGAGAAACCACTAAGGACCCCAACAATAACAAGAGTAGAGGTTAAACATAAAAAAATCATTTAAATTAATGGGAAATTAGAGGAAAGGGATGGTGGGAAAGAGGTAGAGACAGCAATCCATCACTTCTTTCCCTCATGACAAGGATACATGGAAACCTCATACTGTATCAGGGTGAAGCCATTAAACTCAGCTAAAAATTTTAGGCTGTGAAAATCACAAGTGCCCAAAGGAGAAAAAGCTGCAATTACATGCTATACTTTTAAAATCAAGGTAAATCTACTCTAACCTGGAAGTTTTTGTTTCAGTTCCAATCCATGCAAATGTTTTAATCCAGGATTTTTTTTTCCTATGACAAGGTAGTTTCTTCATAGCACTACTAACTGTTAGTTCACAACAGCTGCACTGAAGCAGTTACCTTAGACTTTAGCCTCAAGGTTCATTATCCTGTGGTAACTCCATTAGTGCAGCCACAGCCTTGGCACGCATGTAAGTTCAGACACTAAGGCTAAGGATAGACATTCAAAAAGCCTGAGCTCAGGTGTTGCTGCACTCTGCGCACCCACTTGCTGCCCCTTCCCCCACCTGCCGCAGCCTTTCCCCTGCTCGCCCCCCTGCCTGCTGGCACCAAGTAGTTCCCAGTTGCAGCCCCAAGACCACAGGAGCAGCTGGGATGCAGTGCTAGAGCGGGGGTAGTATGAACAAGCAGGAGAAGGGCAGCAGTGGCAGATGGGGGACAAGTGGCAGTGAGTGGGAGCATCAGGTGCCAGTGCCCTGGGGCCAGGAGTAGCAAGAGTACAGAACCTGGGCTTGCAGGAGTGCTGGGGGGGGGATACCCACCCACCCCCTACACAAATCCCCCCCCACATACTCACAAACCTATACCCAACCCCCATACCCCTCACAATATACAAGAGTAAGACTTCATTTTAAGCTCTTATACAATCACCTCTATGGACACTACACAAACGCATGTAAATCAGGACAAAAATATTTTCTGAAATTAAATTAATGAATGTTGTAGCACATGTTTCATTTTTAGAATATAATTTGGTATATTTCTGGTTCAGCGATGGCAAACCCCTTTGCTGAAAGGAGTAATTTGGGGGGGGGGCAAGGGGAGGGACTTCTGGTGGCAAAGGTCAGGAGTTAGGGGGCAGGACTGCCAGTCCCAAGATGGCAACCAGGGGGTGGGGTACCTGTCAAGGGCTGGGGCTATCCATGCAGCCCTTGATGGCTTGCCAAAACTTGGTAAGCAGCCATCTGCCCGAAATAATTGCCTGCCCTTGCCTTCAACCAACATGACGGGGGGCAGCCTATGGGCAAACCCTCCCCCTCCACACAAGTCACAACCCTCCCCAGCCACCCTCCCCCCACACACTCACAGTCCCCCACAAAACCCATACCCACCCACACCCTACACAAATCCCCCCCCACATACTCACAAACCTATACCCAACCCCCATACCCCTCACAATATACAAGAGTAAGACTTCATTTTAAGCTCTTATACAATCACCTCTATGGACACTACACAAACGCATGTAAATCAGGACAAAAATATTTTCTGAAATTAAATTAATGAATGTTGTAGCACATGTTTCATTTTTAGAATATAATTTGGTATATTTCTGGTTCAGCGATGGCAAACCCCTTTGCTGAAAGGAGTAATTTGGGGGGGGGGGCAAGGGGAGGGACTTCTGGTGGCAAAGGTCAGGAGTTAGGGGGCAGGACTGCCAGTCCCAAGATGGCAACCAGGGGGTGGGGTACCTGTCAAGGGCTGGGGCTATCCATGCAGCCCTTGATGGCTTGCCAAAACTTGGTAAGCAGCCATCTGCCCGAAATAATTGCCTGCCCTTGCCTTCAACCAACATGACTACAACTAACAACCCTATTCCATTTGTGACACCTCAATATATTCACATTTTTGTTGTTTTGATATACCATGTAAACCATTAAATAGTCAAGATGCACAATACAGTAGTACCTCTACGATTTAGCTTTTATTTATCATTCTTGAAACTGCCTTTAGAGAGGAACACAAAGGAAATAATAAGAAATTATACTAAACAAAGAGCAAATAATGAAAAGATCAGAGAACAGAGAGATAGTTAATTCTTTATTGGCTGTCTGCGCAAAAAAGGTCAACTGTGATAAGATGCTTAACAAAATTAATTTTAACTGGGAATTAAGAGTGCAGGTCAGAATAAGGAAAGAACAAATTAAGAAATATTTAAGTAAGACAGAAATAGTCAGCTTGGCAGGGGCTGATGAAATTCACCCAAGCACTAGAGGATCCAGCTTAAAGTAATCTCTGAACTGGTGGTAATCATCTTTGAGACGTCATAGAGGACACAGCATTTTCTTGAGGACTGGGAAGGGCAAACATAATACCTGTTCTTAAAACAGGGTAAATGTACAACTCAAGGAAATATAGATCACTTAGCATAACTTGATGCCCAGAAACCATCTAGAAGCAAGTATCAGGAAATCAATTTATCAGTACCTAAAATGTGATAAGTTGCCAGGGTATTTAAAAAAGGGATCATGTCAAAGTAATCCAATTACCTTCTTTGACAGAAAGTAGGAGATGGGATACATAGCAACTTCAGCAAGGATCTCAATTATCCCTCAGATGATATTCTAAATGTTCAGGTGGTAAAATACTTGAACAACCTACCTAGTGATGCTGTGGAACCATCTTAATGGTCTTCATTAGAACGGTTTAGAGCAGTGGTGTTCAACCTTTTTCCCCAGTGGGCTGGATGGGCAGTGCCTGGTTCATCTGAGGACTGGATCTGGCTGGTGGTCCCAATCCAGCATCCAGGCTGGGCACAGAGAGCACCATCCATCTGCACAGAGGGGGTGGGGGGCAACCCGGTTCCAACCCAGCCCTGCAGGGGAAGGAGGCATGGCTTGGCTAGGGGAGGAGGGGGGAGGGAAAAGGGGGCATAGCCCAGCCCCATGGGGGGAGGGAGGGGAGGCATGGCCCAGCTCTGATCCAGATGTGGGGGGAGGGGGCATGGCCCAGCCCCACAGTGGGGAAGAGAACATGGCCCAGCTCTGACTGGCTGTGAGAGGCTTGGGGTTTGGGAATCTGGCAGGGGAAGAGTGATCATATTAATGGCCACTGCTCCCCGACCCACATCAAATTTTCCGACCTGTGGACAGCCCCATTGGCCAGATGCAATGGCTCCGCATGCCATATCTGGCCTGTGAACTGAAGGTTGAGCACCTTGGTTTAGACAAACATCTCTCAGGTATAGCCTCGGGCATTAGAGAAGGGCGTTGGACTAGATCACTGGGGCCAACCTTTTTGGCAGGAGTGCCATAAATTAGCCCACCTTTCCCAAATGCCATCCAATACCTTTCTCCTGCCCAACCAACTGCTCTGTTTTCTGCTCCCTGCCTTGTGCCCCTCCCCCAATCTGCTGTCCTGCTTTCTGGTTTCTATCCTATCTGCTGCTGTGCTGCCTGTCCCTTCCCCAGTTCAATGCATGCCACACACAGAGGCTGCCCATGCCACATGGTTGGCCATTCCTGGAGTAGAGATCTCCTAACATCCCTTTCATCACATTTCCATGATTCTATGATTTTGCCCAATGGCTATAGGAACTTTTGCAAAATTTGTACTACTTGACTGCAATCTTAACCGTGTAATACTCACATTGCATACATGTGTTTTTAGCATAAGAATTTATTTGTTTAATCCTAAATAAACAACTGCCAGAGTACTCGCAGTTAGTCAATATTCATGTGTACAAGCATATACATATTTTAGCATCAGCTTGCCAGGACTTTGTTCCACTTTCAAAATCAACCAACAGTATGAATCACACCCCAATCTTTATGACCTTTTAAGAAACATCATCCAACTGGGATTTAGTTGTCTGAATACTATCTATTGAAGATATATTTTCATTAAGGAGCCAAAGCTGTTGAAGTAAGGCTAACCATACAACCTTAGCACAGTATTCCTATATTTATAGCTTAGCTATACAGTGTTTATTTTGTGTAACATTACATTTCCTATAGACAATATTTTTTAGAACCCTAGATGTACAAATAATATCTAGGGTTCTAAAATAACCTTGAGAGGGTCCAGAGGAAGGACACTCGTATGGTTAAGGGCCTGCAGGTACAATCCTACAAGGAGAGACTGAGAGACCTGAATCTCTTCAGCTTCCACAAACGAAGGCTGAGAGGGGATCTTGTGGCTGTCTACAGTGTTTTTTTAGAGAAACGTTTCATGTTCCTAGTCAAATCAAGTCCAAATCCGTTAGTGGCCCTACAACTGGCAAACATCTTCCACCCCTACCAGGTGCTTCAGATATTTCCAAAATCTTTTGGCAGGCATCCGACGTGCAGGCCCAAGCTCAGAGGCTTAGGGTTCGGATGCCCCCAAGTTTCACCTGCCCTCAGCCATATGGCTGCAGGAGCAAGCTAGGGAGGAGCCTCCCATTTCCATAAAGTGGGCTTAAAGCCCCAACACCTCTGTGGGTACTAAACTACACCAGAAGAACACTTATCCTCAGGCAACGCTTAAGGAAAACTGCTTTCTTGGACACAGATACATGGTGTTTCCCCTGGTGGGATGAAGTAACAGGCACTATGCTTGATCTGGACCATCTACAAATTCATTGTGGCGGGGTGCAGAAAGGAATAAGGGATACTCTGTTTATCAGGGCACCCCTTGGGGTTACTAGGAACAATGGCCATAAATTGCCAGAGAGCAGATTTAGGTTAGACATTAGGAAAAATTTCTTTATGGTGAGGGTTGCCAAAATCTGAAATGGGCTTCTAAGGGAGGTGGTGCTCTCCCCTACCTTGGAGGTCTTTAAGAGAAGACTAGACAAGCACCTAGCTGGGGTCATCTGACCCCAGCACTCCTGACCAGAGCAGGAGGTCAGACTTGATGATCTACTGAGGTCCCTTCCGACTCCAAAAAACTATGAAATCTATTAAATGTAGCATATATGTACACAAGATACTCAGTGAATGAGGAAAAGAACATTCACTAGGCAATGTTTACAGGAACTGCTGCAAGAACTCCTAAGGAGACCTGTTCTGTAAGGTGATAGGAATAAACCTTGTACTGGAAAAAAATAAGAAATGGTAATTATGTAAATAGACTGTCTAAATATACACACACACAGGGCAGAGTTAAGTACAATTCTTACTTTGACATTTCTTGATTTTTGGCAGGTTAACCTTGTAACCTTAATGTTATCTGCCTTGTTTTTTAAAAGGGAAAAATCACATAATCTGAAATGACTGCAAGAATACCTAGTGTCCTAGCTCTTGGAATCTAGTGTGGCACTGAATGCG